AAAGAAAGAAAGAAAGAAAGAAAGAAAGAAAGAAAGAAAGAAAGAAATAGCTGTTTTGGGGGTTGGCATCAGAAGGGATATTCAGCAGGTTCTGACCAGTTCTGGAGAACCGGCTGCAGAAATGTTAAGTAGTCTTGAGAATAGGCAAATACCACCTCTGACTGGCCCCACCCCCATCTATTCTCTGCCTCCCAAGTCCCAGCTGATTGGTTGCTGATCTTTTGTTGCCGTGCACAGGAGAACGGAGCTGGAAAGCAGGTCAGTGGCGTGGGGAGGGAATGGGAATTTGCAGTAACTTTCCCCCAGGAGTGGGGAAGGAATGGAGATTTGTAGTATCCTTCCCTTGCCACGCCCACCAAGCCACATCCACCAAGCCACACTACGCGACCAAGCCACATGATGCCCACAGAACCGGTAGTAAAGATTTTGAATCCCATCACTGGGGGGCATGTCCTCTTTTTATGACATTTAAATGGGCACCCTAAGCCCACCTAGTTCCCCATACTCAGCTGTTTGTGAGTCGTCTTCAAAGACTTCCCGAGCTTCTTCATAGTTGCAAACTTCTTCTCTGCATTCACGCTCCAAGTTGTCTGGCACAATCAGCTCAAGATCCCAGTGGTTATAAAGAATCTTACGGTTCAAGAATTTGTTTGCAGAAGTGGCATCCAGGAACACTGGGAACAGGAACCAGCAGACATTATCCTGAAGTTCAGAGCAGGCATGAAGTTCTATCAACAATATCTCTTAGTACTCAGAGAAAGTGTATACGATCTAGAGAATGCTTCTGAACCTGGACGACTTTCAGCTGTATAGACTTCAAAAGTCAGCATTGCCCACTGGCAATTGCTGAGAATTCTAGAAGTTCAGGTCCAAGCATCTGAAAGTTGACCAGGTTGCAAACATTGCTCTACAGAAGTGTTGAAGATGTGTGTACTTCATCTCTCAGAATTCCTCAATTCTCCCAGAAATCTGGGAGTTGAAATCCATAAATCATCTAACTGCCAAAGTTAAGAAACATTATTCTAATTGGAGTGCTGAAGAGCTAGGTGCCTGTTAGATAAAGGAAGCAACCTCCCGCCCGCCCCAAGAACTACTAAAATATCTGAGAAGGAAATGCTATCTAGCAGTCTTGGCTGATGATGGGAAGATTTTATTTCCATCCAATTCCCTTTTACTCCATACTATCCAATTCTCTTTTACTCCCTAACAGAGGACACATGAGTGGAAATAAAGAAATGCAGAATTTCAGAAGGACCAGCTATGCCATTAAGATACTATAAGAATGGGTAAACTTTGATTTGCTAGAAGTTACATTTCTTCAAGGAAACGCTTCTTTTTTTTAGCAACCAAGTGAACTGACATTCACGTTACTTTTTATTCCCAACAGGGTTTACATAATATTTTTGAGGTATTAAGTTTAAATGAAGCTTACACATCAGTTTTGCAGTTTTTCTGCAAAAAAGAAAAAAAAAAGAAAAAAGAAAAAAAAGACAGAAAACCACACCAAAGTTTTTCAATAGATTGCCAACGAAGTTTGGCTGCACAATTTCATCCAAAATCACCCAACAAAATAGACTGGAAATCACATGAGCCCTGCAGACACTCTACCCCTGTTTTTGAAACAGCATTTGTTGCTGCATCAACTTCAGCATCAGTTCATTTACCCTCTCTCCTACTCTCTAGCCATTTTACTCTTCTGGAAAACAGTTCCACCATCCTGTCTCCCAATCCTGAAATCTGGAGAATAACGCTCTCCTTCCTTCCAATAGGTGCTGAAGTGGGGTTACATTGTTTGGAAGAAAAGAAGTCTTGTATACAAGGAAGAAGAGAGGATGCCAGTTTGACTTTGGTACAAGCAGCCGTTATAAATTAAATTTGGGGCAACCCCATTCATATGTAAACAGACTGGAGACTTGGGAGAGTTTGGGAGAGAACCCTGTGCTGACTATTTGCCTATAAGATTCTATTCCTCTCTCTGTTTATCAGATCTTTCCAGATGATCCCATCATAAACCTCACAAATAAGTCTTTGTAATGTACTTCCAGTTACAATCTGAAGCCTTCCCATAGGAAAGAGCTTATTTGCTCTTTGTGGGAAGGTATTGCGTTTCCCCCTCACTCCGCATTCCTTGCTGCATTTGGAATGTGGTTCTGCAAGATTCAGAGATGCACTAATTGCTGGTTATTTATGAAGTGGATCCCATGGATCATCAGCGTTGTGGGGAGAAGTGCTGTTCATGTGGCGGTTGTTGAGTGCATCCTCTTGCTGGTTTTAGCTACATTGCATGTTTAAAAGCAGAAGAGACCAGATGATATAGAAAATGGAGCAAAGATTAGTAAACTTTTTTTTTCTGTGAAGGACACATCTCCTCAAGATAACCTGAGTAGATAGGCTGGCTCTGTAGGGGGTCTTTGTTTAGCAAGTGCGGCTGGAACCAGCAACACAACAATTAAGTGAAGCAGTGCTGAATGAAATTGCAACTGTGCTTACTATCTGTCCTTTGTTTTACAGATTTGCAAAGATTCTAAATGTGAAGATTATTTGTAAAGTTACTTTTTCTACCACCATTGTAATTGTAAGCAATCACTAAACAAGGCTGTTGGGTATAACATTGATACACCAACTAAGTTTGGGTGAATAAATATATAAACCAAGGTTTGGGTGTTTGTAACTTGTAGCTTTAAGCACCAAACTGCTTGTAATTAACTAATTAAGGGTGCAGTTACAAACGGCAATAAAAGGCAGTAAGAGAAACGTAATCTCTCTCTGCTTGTTTTTCTGCTTGCTACTGTTTGTTTGCTACTGTTTGCTACAACTGTTTGAATACCTGAACCAAAGGACTATTTCATTGATGTGCTGATATCCTGTGATTACTCAACGTTGTCTTCAAAAGGAAAGGTATCAGAGGAGAAGATATCTTCACAAGCAGATAATGATATAGAACTGACTAGTAAATGGACTAAGTTACTGAATGGATATATTTGTGAATGACATATGGACTGATTGACAATGTTTAAACTCTAATTGGATTAAATAACTATTTAAACTAAAAAACAGTGTTTGTCATCAGTGTGTGTAAACTCTAGGGCCCTTCCT